TAAAAGTTACTAATAATTAGTAAAATTTTACTAATTGTTAGTAAAAGTTACTAATAATTAGTAAAATTTTACTAATTGTTAGTAAAAGTTACTAATAATTAGTAAAATTTTACTAATTGTTAGTAAAAGTTACTAATAATTAGTAAAATTTTACTAATTCATAAGCAAAAAGTGAATCACTAATTCAAATTAGTAAACACTTTTACTAATTCAGATTTAGAGAGCAACGCTTATTATTTTAATCCAATTTTGCTTATTTTAATTCATTTTGATATTAAAATAAGCAAAATTGAATTAAAATAATAATCGTTGCAGCTTATTTTAATATCTTACAATTTTCTGTGCTCTAAATTTTTATTAGTAATTTCTTTTTAACTAATTTGAATTAGTGACTTACTTTTTGCTTCTTAATGAAGTGAATTTTACTAATTACAAAAAAATTTACTATGAATTAGTAAAATTTAAATTAAATTGTTAGTAAAAGTTACTAATAATTAGTAAAATTTTACTAATTCATAAGCAATAAATGAGTCACTAATTCAAATTAGTAAACACTTTTACTAATTTAGATTTAGAGAGCAACGCTTATTATTTTAATCCAATTTTGCTTATTTTAATTCATTTTGATATTAAAATAAGCAAAATTGAATTAAAATAATAATCGTTGCAGCTTATTTTAATATCTTACAATTTTCTGTGCTCTAAATTTTTATTAGTAATTTCTTTTTAACTAATTTGAATTAGTGACTTACTTTTTGCTTTTTAATGAAGTGAATTTTACTAATTACAAAAAAATTTACTATGAATTAGTAAAATTTAAATTAAATTGTTAGTAAAAGTTACTAATAATTAGTAAAATTTTACTAATTCATAAGCAATAAATGAGTCACTAATTCAAATTATTAAACACTTTTACTAATTCAGATTTAGAGAGCAACGCTTATTATTTTAATCCAATTTTGCTTATTTTAATCCATTTTTTTAACTAATTTGAATTAGTGTCTTACTTTTTGCTTTTTAATAAAGTGAATTTTACTAATTACAAAAAAATTTACTATGAATTAGTAAAATTTGAATTAAAATCAAAAAAATTTTGTATTTAATAAAATCAGAACTAATAATATTAAAGCACTAGTTGAACTTTCACTCTCGCAGAGGTAGGTTTAAATACATTTACATTTATAAATAAACGTCCGTATGACGAATCGATTAGTTTTGTTATCACCCAGAGATTTATATCTCGTTTTAGTATTCATAGGTATATATTGAAACTTAAAACTATATATATATATATATTTTGCAGGGAATAAACGAGGAGAAATTTCATACTACTATAGAGAAAATTGAACAATCACCCCTCGTATTCCCCGTTGGCATTGCCGGAAATCATAGTTTCACGTTTGCTATATATATATACATGTCGTAACATTGTACTTCAATTTCTATAGACATATGGGCACTTGACGTAACTTTGTTATACCCCGACTTTATACTAGCAGGATAAACGTGAAAGGCTTTAAAGGCCTTCGATTCTTCCCCACGAGTTTCCTGTCTTTCGAGCATGATTAATATCATCCATTGTGACAAGAGATATTCTTGAAAAGTCGCGTTCCTTTTCTTCCAAAAAAAAAAAAAAAAAAAAAATCCACACTCACCTGCGCAAAGTAATCACTTTTCCCCAACTTTTCATATTCTATATATCTATATATATATTTTTTTTATATATAACATCTCTCTACGCTTCGAGAAAAATGTCCCACTAATAAATCATCCTCTTTTAATTACTTTAAATTGCTTTCTTTACATTTTTTTTTTTATTTTCTTTGTTTCGCAAAAGGTGTGAAAAAATTGATTGTTCTTTTTTTCAACCTAGAATAATGGTTATAAGGGAATTTTTTGAACTAAAACAGTAGAAAAAAAAATTTAGGGGCATTAAAATAAACTACACTGAAAAAAAATTAGTATTGAATCAAGAAAACCTATATCGTATTTTATATCAATATTTTCTTGAACCAAGAAATTTTTTTTAATTTGAAGTAAATTTTCTTGAATCAAGAAAATCTTTGATCAAGAAAATATTGGTATAAAATACGGTCAAGTACATAGATTTTCTTGATTCAATACTATTTTTTTTTTCTTTCAGTGTATTATCCAAAATTGGATTTTCTAAAAGAGCAAAAATTTTGCCTAGAATTTTTTATCATTTTCTTGAGAATGCTGACGAGGGGAAAAAAAATTATTGATCAATGATAAAAATATCCTTTTGCAATATATATCAGAATGTTGATTTGCATGGTACGCACGCATACTATAATAATTTTCATCGTGCAAGATCGAATATGAAAGGAAACATGCTTTGCAATCGACATATATATATATATATATACATATTTTCAATGTTCTATGGTAAATAGGAATTATAAAAAAAAATTTTAATATAAATACAGGATATGTATCCTGCTTTTAACTTGAACATAATTGAACTTTGATATACTAATCGAGAAAATTATTCTTTCTTTCACACTTTATAGGCCCTCGACTCCCCCCTCTTTTCTCCCTCATGCCACTAACCGGAACTTCCTGCTTTATTAAAATATATTATTACTCGATCTGGCAAATATATATATATATATATAGAGTTGTAAATATATCAACTTCTCATATTTCGCGTTTTCTATATAGATTATATTACAAAATGAATATTGTACTTTCTTTCTTTATTTCACAGATTTCTTTATAGGAAAAATTTTTTATAACACATTTTCTTTTATAAAAACTGTATTTTCTAACAAAATTTTTTTTATAAATTATCCTATAAAAATTATTTTTTCTAAAAGAATTTACAAAACAAATTATTGTTTATAAAAAAAAGTTTTTTTTTCTATAAAAAATTTCTATATTTTAAAAAACATTTTTATAAAAAAAAATCCGTTTAAAAAAAAATTCAATATAAATAAATGCTTTATATATTTGTAGGAAAAAAAAATGTTTTGTAGAAAAAATCTGTTGTAAAAAAAAATGGTTTTTTTTTCATAAAAAAATGTATAACTATTCCCATTTGGAGCGGAAATATAATTGAAGATATGATAATTAAAATGATGAAATCTTGTTTATATATCGAGCGCAATAAACTTATATTAGCCCTGATGGAAAAAAAATTTCTTAATGCTTCCATTTAACGTTTTTTTTACAAAGTTATAATTTCATATATTTTTTTTTTTTTTTAAATAACAACTTTAGAAATCTGTGTTATTCATTATATTTGTAATTTCAAATCATATATGAGTCATATATGCCTTGCAAAATTTGCGTAGGTTTATTTTTATATAACATTTTCTTTATTCAACATAACAATTTATCATAAACGTTGACATTAATTATTAATTATAATATTATAAATTTAATTCAATTAGTTTATTACCATACCGATGAGTTGTATTTAAATATTATCTACATTATTTATTAATCGTGAATATATATTTCAAAGAATTTATTACTAATGGTAATATTTATTATTATTATTATTATTATTATTACCTATTTTTACTATTATTATTATTATTATTATTACCTATTATTACTATTATTACTATTATTACTATTATTATTATTATTATTATTATTATTATTATTATAACCTATTATTACTATTACTATTATTATTACTATTATTATTATTATTACTATTATTACTATTATTACTATTATTATTATTATTATTATTATTATTATTATTATTATAACCTATTATTACTATTATTACTATTACTATTATTATTATTATTAATATTAAAAATAAAAAAATTTTGTTTTTCTATTTTATTTTTTAATATTATTATATATTAATATTTTCATTTCGGTGAATAGTAATAAAAATACGTTTCACATAATATGTTCTTTTTTTTCCTGCGGTCGCGCAATAAAAAACATTGCATTGTTAGCGAAAGAAAAATGTAGTTTATAAACGATGGGAAGCAAAACGAAAAAAAAAGGAAAGAAAAAAAAAAAAAAAAAAAAACGATGAAAAATGGGTCGAATATTTTGTGTTACGCGACTTTTCTTTATGATGTAGTTGAATAGAAACGCGTAATAGAAGCGTAATATATTCTTACGTCTTTCGTCGACCCGCCCGAGCGTTCACTTTCCTAGACACTATATACATAAGGAGATCATTTACGCCAACGGGAGACTTTCAGTTTCAACAAGAAGAAAGAGACTCTGCAGCACAAGCATCCAAACACATACATACAAAGGATGAGAGAGAGAGAGAAAGAATGTTGTTTTCGGAAGCGAATCGCTCGCCTGCTGTTCAAATATCCTTAGGGATGCTCCTCTATATAGCACGAATCATATAGATTTACAAAAAAACAGATTGTTTTCATTATTTTAAATTTGATCGAAAATAACAAAAAAAAAAATTTCTATCATTAGAAAGAAAAAGAAATAATATGAATTTTTCAAAAAAGAATTTCAGAAATATTTGTTTGATATTTTAGAATAATTTAAATAAGAAAAAAAGAGGAGAAAATTCCACGAAATATTTTGTATGAAAAAACAGACACTGAATTTTTATTTAAAAATTGTTATTCTATAAAAATTGTAAAAGTAGAAAAGTTTTGTAATGAATTTTTTTTATAAAGACAAACAACTATTTAGGAAAAAAAATAGTTATTGAAAGCTGTAATGTATATCTATTTATGAGAGTAACACCCAGGTGAGATTGTACTAAAGACCTTTCATTCAATATAGTTAGAGGCAAGTTAATGAGCAAACTTAACTGTAGGCGCGAGACATAAATTCTTCTCGAAAGTATTCCTCATTTACATGCGGAAAACTTGGAGAAATTTCGTAACATTAACCAATTAAATATGACTAAAACGAAAAAACGTCCTAAACGAAAAATTTCATATTTACCATTTTAGTGAAGGTAATTGAATAATAGAAATAGCTGTAAAAATTTTTTTTACTTATAATTAAAATTAAAAAAGAAAGAGATCGTCTTTATAAATAAAAAACACATTTCTTTATTCCATGTGGGGGAAAAAAAATACATCCAAAATTTTTATGAATACATTATTGGTGCTTTCTCGACTTATTTCTAGTTCGCACGGTTCGCTTTTTTTTCAATTACATCCGCAGGAAATTAATTATGTAACTAAGCTAAATCTTGCGAATTTATGACAAATTTTTAACATAATTAACTTTCTCTTAAAAAAGTTTTTCGATATCCATAGGATATATTAGAAATAATGATCCTTGTCTCCTATCTAGATTCTCATTTTTTTTTTTTTAATAATGATGTCCACCCCAGCTGATTTCACCACCAAGTCCATGATCCCAACCACCATGATGAGAATGTTCTTTAACATAAACTGGATATGGTTCCTTGACAACAACTGGTACTTTAACTGGATATGGAACATGTTTATGTACTTCAATGGGAACTTTAATTGGTACTTTCACTGGATATGGTACTTCAACTGGTACATGAACTGGTACTGGTACATGTACTGGATATGGACGATCAACTTTCACTGGTACTTTGACTTTAACTGGAACTGGCACATGTTTATCAACGTGCACTGGATATGGATGTGGTACTGGAATATGTTTTGTTATTGTCACTGCTTTAATATGATCTGTCTCAATATGTTCGGTATGACCTAATCCACCATCCAAACCCAAACCACCGGCAACAGCTAAACCACCATGATCACCCAATACATGATCCAATCCTCGTTTTGGTTTATCATCCTTTTTTATTTCCGGTTTTGTGTCCTTCTTTAATTTCTCCTCAGCGAATGCCACGGCCAATAGGCCGAACACGAGGATCACCTTAATACCAAGAAATTAATTATCTGTCATTAAAAAAAACTTCTATCCAATCAATTTTTTTCACCCTATTTTATTTTTCAATTACTCTGACAATACTTGTTAAAAGAAGGGAAAAAGATCGAATTAAATTAAAACAGGAGTTCAAAAAAAAAGAAACAATAATTTACACAATTCCAAAAACCATAAACAAATAAAATTAAATAATTGTAAATTGGTCCAAAAAAACAATTCGATAATTTGATTAGTCACAAATTTTTCCCCAAATTTTTTTAAGAAAATTAATATTTAAATTATTGGAAAATTAATTAAAAACAAGCAAAATTTTGTTTAGAAAAATCTAAATAAATAAAAAGGAATTTTGAATTAATTTTTCACTATTTGTAAAAAAAAATGAAAGAAAAAAAAAAACAAAAAAAGGTGCGCGTACTCCATGAGAATGCTAGATATGACGTCATTGGTTGTAAGTCTACTCACTGTCAGTTTAGCTGTGGTGCGCATGATAGTTATACTGAAATCCTCCGCATGCTGCCCTCGCTTTTATAAGGACGCTCAAGTCGAGCGCAACCAAAGAAATCGTTGCCCGGTAGAGGAAGAAATCACGAGCACACTGAACAACCGTCAAACTTTTATCCGGCATTTCTTCGACTTTCCTCTTTTTCATTATTTTCATTATATTTCTCCCTCTCTCTCTCTCTATCTATCTATCTCTCTCTCATCCAATTTCTTTTTCAAGCCATTCAATTTCAAGTTTCTATTTTTATAAACGTTTCCGTAGAATTTTAATATATAATAATAATATAATAATAATAATAAAATATAATATAATAAATATAATTATATAATATATAATATAATCAAATAGGAGCCAAAATTTTCTCTTTTCTTTAATTCAAAGTATTTTTTTCAATGAATTTTATAAAATTACACTGAAAAAAAAATTTATTTGATTCAAATAATCGAATTACTTGACTATTTTTAAATAAATATTTATTTTTATTAAATAATTATTATTTAAATCGAATAAATAGTATTTGTTCTAAATACAGAAATTATTGTTTCAGATACAAAAATTCTTTGGTTCAAATACAATTTATTTAATTTAACTAAAAATTATTTGGTTCAAATACAATTTATTTAATTCAAATAAAAATTATTTGGTTCAAATACAATTTATTTAATTCAACTAAAAATTATTTGGTTCAATTAAAAATTTATTTGATAATAGTTATGTAATAGTTAAGATTAATTAAATAAATTATTTTTTCCAGTACACGTTTGAAAAGTATTGTTACCGAGAATTTTGAAAATATGACACTTCAGAGAAAATCTGATATATATATATAGTGTTATAAAATGTTTTATCTACTTTTTTTTATGTTTATTCATAAAACTATTACTTTCTTACTTAATACCATGTAAATATAAAATACCGAATTATTAATTGCAACCTTGTACGTAATAAACCAGCAAATATGCAAATAGGTATAATAAATACATAATAAATTTATTAATACGCAATAAGGTAAAGACAATAAAAACAATATGGATAAACACACATTACATAAAAAAAATAAATAAACAAATTAATACACGGGTGAAATATATATATATATATATATTATAATAAAATGAACAATAGATGCATTAAATAAATATAAAATAAATGCAAAAATAAATAAAGGCATTAATAAACAATAGAGACATAAATAAACAATAAATCTCAAAAAAAAAAAAAATAATAAAGCAATACATCAATAATAAATAATAAACAGGATTTTAAAAAAAAGACAGTTACAAATATAAAGAAATGAATAAATAAAATGAATATATAAATAAACAATGAATTTCGTAAATAAACAATTGTGGTTATAAAGCAAATATAGATATTAAATAATTCAAAGTCTGATATTTCGCAGCTAATGGAAGTTTGCAATCGAATGGAGATATTATAAAAGAAGTAATAACAGATTATTATTGAAATTTAATCATGCAATTAGGATATTGAGTGCATTAACTTATTTCCCCTAGAATTATTATTATTATTATTATTAATAGAATTCTCATAAAATTATAACTTTTTTTTTTCTCTTCATATATTTGTATATATATGATTTCATATACGATATAATATGTCATCATTAGATTTCTCTCTATCCACAAAAAATGAAAGTCGATGGTACTTGCTTTGCAAAATCGAGGGGGTTGTAATATATGTATGTGGAGCAATTGATTATTTATTGATCTCGCAACATTCCATAGAAAAGCAAAAAAAAAGAAAAAAAAAGTTACAATTTTATTTATTAAAATGGAAATATTTTCAAATAGAAAATTTTGTATTCAACTATTTTTGTATTCTTATATATATATAAGTCAAACATTTGAGATATTTTCTTATCAAATATACTTCAATAAAGTATGGAATTTTATTTGGAGAAAAAATACCAAGGTAAAAAAGATACTAATTACTAATTTAAAAAAAATTACTAATTTCAAATTTATTTTCTACAATCTATTATTTGTTTAAAATTTTAATTTTTGAAATTATTTTTCCAATATTATGCCGCAAAGTAATATGTCCGTGACTAATCATTGATATTTCGTATTTATATTCAACTTTGAGTGGGCTTTTGTCTTTTAACATTTAAATTTAAAATGCAAGGAGACGAAGAATATATATTTCGTATAAAGCAATTGAATTCTTATATATAAATATATTGTATATATATAAATACTGTATAGAAAAATCTCGAGTCGCGAAACATCACAAGTAAATCCTTCTTCATTTAAATTATTGCCTGTTTGAAAATTGACGTTATCTGGGAAGTATAGTATTACCGCAATGCAAGCATAATAACGAAAGAGAATTGCTATTTCATCAATTGAATTTTTATTAGTGATATTTTTTCCTCACTTGAATACACATATATAATATATATATATGTATATGTTTGGCTCCGATCGCCAGGTATCAATTTAAATGAAAAATAGTTAGCGGGTCAAAAGGGAAAGTTGAACCCTCACAACTATCTGCAATAAGATTAACCCACAGTACTATGTGTGACCTCTCACGCAAGTCAAAGGCCAAAAAAATTTGCGCGACTTTAAAATAAAAAACAAACAAATATTCATAAACAAGGCTATTATTAATATAAGGAGCATAGCTAATATATATATATATATATATATATATATATATGTCATGAAATATCAGACGATGTCTTATACTACTTATTTTTATTGTTTTGTTAATTTTATGCAATATTTGACAAATGTCATATTTCTGATATTTAACCAGGAATGTTTTTTTAATTTTCAAATGATTTTTACTATTCATTGTTTTTTTTAAGTTTTGATATTCGTGTCATCCATACTTTGTACCATACATTCTCTTTATCAACCATACTTTTTAACCTTCAATATTTTTATCCTCCATACTTTGTACCATTCATACTTTGTATCATCCATTAATTTGTACTATCCATACATTGTACCATCCATATTTTGTACCATCCATACTTAGTACCATCCATAATTTTTATAAACCATACTTTGTACTAACCATACTTTGTACCATTCATACTTTGTACCATCTATACTTTTGTACCATCCATACTTTGTACCATCCATACTTTATACCCTTCATACTTTGTACCATCCATATTTTTTACCATCCATACTTTTTATAAACCATACTTTGTACCAACCATACTTTGTACCATTCATACTTTGTACCATCCATACTTTGTACCATCCATACTTTTTATAAACCATACTTTCTACCATCAATACTTTGAATCAGCCATATTTTTTACCATCAATACTTTGTATTAGCCATACTTTGTACCATCAATAATTTGTATCAACCATATTTTGTACCATCCATACTTTGTACCAGCTGTACTTTTGTAGCATCCATACTTTGTACCATTTATACTTTGTACCATCCATACTTAGTACCATCCCTACTTTTTATAAACCATACTTTGTACTATCAATACTTTGTATTAACCATACTTTGTACCATCCATAATTTGTATCAACCATATTTTGTACCATCAATACTTTGTATCAACCATGCTTTGTACCATTCATAATTTGTATCAACTATAATTTGTACTATCAATACTTTGTATCAACCATACTTTGTACCATCCATAATTTGTATCAACCATATTTTGTACCATCAATACTTTGTATCAACCATACTTTGTACCATCCATACTTTTTATAAACCATACTTTGTACCATCAATACTTTGTATCAACCATACTTTGTACTATCCATACTATGTACCATTCATACTTAGTACCATCCATATTTTACCATCAATACTTTTTATAAACCATACTTTGTACCATCCATACTTTTTATAAACCATATTTTGTACCATCCATACTTTTTATAAACCATACTTTGTAACATCAATACTTTGTACTATCCATACTTTGTACCATCCATTCTTTTTAATATCTTCAATATTCGTACCATCCATACTTTTTAATTTTAATATTTCTGTCATCCATACTTCGTACCCAACCGTAATTTTAATCATCTATCTTTTTTACCCATCTTCTCCCATCCATACTCTCTTTTTTTTGAACCTTAAATAATTCTCTTGACTTTTAAAAATGTTGTGCAATGTCAAAAATAAAATTTTTGAATCTAAAAAAAAATATTTGTATATTTTTATTGAAAATAATTATTTTTTTTTATAATCTTCCCTGAGAGCTTATTAATTTGGAATATAATTTCTTGAGCGATTATAACAAAAGTTATAATTCAAAGGATTCGATTTCAAAGTTTAGTCATGATAATTCAAATATTAGAATATGGAAGCAATCCCACGGTTTATCAGTCTTATCGGAGGAATACATTTCCATGTATATGGATTTGAATCTACATATTTGAATCCGAAAATATTGATTCAGTGTGTTCCATATAGCGAGAACGATGTATTCAACTTTTGACTATATATATATATTTCGTTTATATACTTTCGATTCGGCTTTTTAAGATCGACTTTGACGCAATTGAAGGAATAATTATTAATTATACTTCCATTTACTTAAAGACTGGTTACAATATTTTTTATATGTACATATATATGTGTATACTGAAAATTTAGTACAGTGAAATGTATTTTAAATATTGATCAATTCGAAATATTGCAAGTTAACAAAATGCCTTACATACTAAAAAATTTGCCTTTTTTTTTTTAATTCTAATTTGCATACAACAGACTCTATTCTTATTTCTCCAGACAAAAACTGATTTGCATATTTTATTCAGTCACTTTTAACACCTCCTCGGAGTGGTAAAGCTTTTTTAATTTATTATTTTAGACAATTTCTTTTTTTTCATGCAAAATAATTCACGTCGTGTACTACGCGCAAGATGAAAAGGAAAAGAACAAAATTTTGCAGAATATTTTTTTTCAATTCCCTTTTTTATTATTTAATTATTTAATAATTAATTAGTATTTATTAATAACTATATAATTTTTATTATTTTATAAATTTTTTCGACAGAAATTTTTTTCAAAATTCCAAATTTAGGTGGTTTGTTTTTTTTTTTCAAACGAGAAACTGGTTTAAAATTTTGCAATAAACATTCGCCCTAATAAATTATTAAAACAGGTTTT